GCTAACTAATTCTTTACCTCCCTCAGATTTGGGGTCTGGCCAATAATCATCTGACGTTCCTCAACAGCTATAAGATGAAGATGTCTGTCATTATTGGAGTCATCCATATGACCTTTGGTGTGTGTTTATCCGTATTCAACTACATGTGAGTATGGTTTTCTTTGCTGTTCTTTAGGATTTTCTTCATGTTTTCTGCAATTCGGTTACTTTTTTTTTTATTTTATAAAAATAAGGTAGACATGGATCAAACACTGTCATAATTTAGAAATAAAAGACCATTTCATTGATTTTACCCTGATTTTAGCCACTGAAACACTCGCACTTAACAGGGTGGTTTACATTTTGTGGCATTACTGTTCAGTATCTGAACTGAACAAACAAATAATGGTCTAATGGGACAATCACATAGTTGAAAATAAATATTAGGATCCTTTGGATAGTAATGTTATTTTTAGTCCAGTTATCCTGTTGTTGTTATTTTCTGCTTGCCATAAATCACATAAAGAGGCGTTGATGAAGTAGTACCTCTTCTATCTGTATGACCTCTTGAATCTCACAAGATCAAGGTGAATTTTGATTTCTTAATTCATGGCCCCTTTAAAAGTAAATATTTATGTGCAGAGTTCAAAATGATCATTCCGGTCCTAAAGTTGTCTACTTAACATTTGCATGCTTTTTTTATTTTTTATTACCATTTGAACCATGGATCTTAAACTCTTTTTTTTTTTGTGCTGCTGTGTAGACACTTCAGAGAGATCAGCAGTGTGTTTCTGGTGCTGATCCCGGAGCTGTGTTTCATGCTGTGTCTGTTTGGATACCTGATCTTCATGGTGATCTATAAGTGGCTGGTGTATGGCCCCATGACCTCCGACTCCGCTCCCAGCATCCTCATCCACTTTATAGACATGTTCCTGTTTACTGAGAATAAGGACAACAAGCCTCTCTATACGGACCAGGTGTGTACTTGTAGTTAGTTAGTATCACAAAACCAGACATTTGACTCTCGGAATAAAGTCTGTTCCACTTTATGGTTTGTTAGGGACTTGGGTTACATCTGAAAATGGTGATATCACGATAATAGGCTGCTTTTGTTTATGATTTGTCTCAATATGGTTTATTAAACAGAAGTGAGACATGGATATGACAGGATCTTTGCATCTTGCACCAGTTTCCTCTCAAGTTTCCAGTTCTCCCCCAGCATTATTAATCCGACTCAACATAAAATGAACAGACCTGACCATCTCTTTGTGTCTGTAGATGGTCGTGCAGAAGGTTCTGGTGATTGTGGCTGTGTTGTCTGTTCCTGTGCTGCTCCTGGGGAAGCCAATGCATGAATACATCATGCACAGGAGGAAGAGAACTCCGTTTTCGGTGAGCAATCCTTCTGCGTTTATGTACTTAAGAGTTTGGGAATGGACCCGAGTACATTTTTTGTGGTTTGTGTGTGTTTGTATAACTATGCGCTCATCTTCCGTAGGGAGACAGACGTCCACTGCTAGCAGAAAATGGCTCTATAAATGCTCACCAGGACGAGGTGAATGCAAGAGGAGGAGGAGGAGGAGGAGGAGGAGAAGAGGAGGTAAGAGGGAAAAATCAAAAATGTACCATAGAAGGTCATGCAACTTGTTATATATAAATATAAAAGCGACTTGCATGGCATTGAAGGTACATATATGATCAGTTCTTTCCTTGGGAATCAAACCCATGGTCTTGCCATCGCTAGCATCTATTCCTCTGAAGTCATGCGATAGCTTTTTGTCACAAACATACAAAGTCATAGGTTTGGAAGCACACGAGGATGAGTTCATGATGACAAGTTCCTTGGATTTGCCATTTTTGATATCTTCTCAATTTTTGTTTTCTGTCTTTCCATCTGCCATTGTTTGTAAGGAGTTTGATACAGCAAACGTGTTCATGCACCAGGCCATTCACACCATCGAGTATTGTCTGGGGTGCATCTCTAACACCGCCTCATACCTGCGGCTCTGGGCCCTCAGCCTGGCTCACGCCCGTAAGTGCTCTCACGCATGTTTCACTGCTGCCGGCATTACTGTGGAGCATCTAGTCATGTTGCGTGTGTGTTTTTCAGAGTTATCTGAGGTGCTGTGGTCAATGGTGATGAGTATCCCCTTCAAGCAGCTCAGTTATGTGGGCTCTATCGTCATGGTGGTTATATTTGCTGCCTTTGCTGTGCTAACCGTATCGATCCTGCTCGTCATGGAAGGCCTGTCCGCTTTCCTGCACGCACTTCAACTTCACTGGCACTCACACTCTCTCACTCACACTCTCTCTCACACACACTCACACTCTCACTCTCACACACACTCACACTCACACTCTCTCACACACACACACTCACACTCTCTCTCTCACACACACACACACACACACACACACTCACTCTCTCTCACTCTCACGCTCTCTCACACACACACACTCACACTCTCACACTCACACTCTCACTCACTCTCTCTCTCACTCTCTCACACACACACTCACTCTCACACACTCACACACACACACACAGGTCATGTTTTATGTCCTCTTAACATCACGCTGAGTCTTGGAACTAAACTAAGCTATTTGTAATTACTGCAATCCTTGCCATTACAAATGTTTTTATTTTTTAGAATTTTGTGTTTGGAAAAAGACATTTTATATTACATATATACTCAGAAATATTCTGACCTAAACTTTAGATTTATGTATTTGAATTGCATCTACTTTTTCCATTCATTTGAATTACACAGTTTTACCATAAAGTAAATAAAATGTGATGCATATTTGTCAGTCATTCATAAATGGGTAAGAAACGGGTAAGATGTCTAATAGTACTAATAAATACCAATTTATGCTAACTCTGAGAAACTGGAATAAATTCATTTTGAAAATATGATTATTTCAATAAAATTAAATTGATGCAAATAGTTAAGAAAGTGCCATGATTTTTTGGAGTGCAGAGATCTTAGCTGTTTCATTTACGTTTGACTGACAAATATGCATCATATTAGGATTATTAGTTTACATTTAAAACTGTGTACTCCAGATTCATGGAAATGTAGAGTTGTCAAAAAATAAAATGCATTAATGGTAGAACAATTTATTGAAACTTTAGACAAAATCAAAAAAAAATTCAGATGAAAACATTTGGATTATCTTGTAAATCAGTGTAATCTTCATAACAGTATACAGGACTACTTACATAAACACATATAAATACCAGTTATCACTCAATATCTCACAATAATGTCTTATTATTGTGAGATACCACGACCTAAAGGTATACATTTTTACAATTATACTAAAAAGCCTTTTTTAAATCCTTCTATAAATCAGACGACACAAAAAAAAGGAAAAAAATAAATGTGCTTATCAAACATGATACAGTAGGCTTTATGTAAGTTAATTAGAGATTCATGTTCTTTCTGTGTCTATTTACACATATTTACTTATACTGTCATTGATTTCTGAATTAAATATCTCCTCTCTCGCTCTCTCGCTCTCTCTCGCTCTCTCTCTCTCTCTCTCTCTCTCTCAGGGTGGAGTTTCAGAATAAATTCTACAGTGGAACAGGCTACAAGCTCACTCCATTTACCTTCTCGTCAGAAATTGGAGCTTTCTCTCTAAAGTGACCCATGAACCTCCTCTAGTAGTTATTTGGCTGGGGGCACAAAGCACATTTTAAACTGTCATTGAAGCATCTATCGTTTTCTTTTATATTTTAGCTTGACTGCCACTGGGCGAAAAGCTGGACCTGAAAAATCAAACATGAAAAATGTTTTGAAACTCTATTATGGATCCATATCTTTGACACTATGCAACATTATCTTTGAAACCATATCTGAGTACATGGCAACATTTTAGTTGATTGAACATGATTTTTTTAATTGAAGTCTTGAGTCCACATAAAATAAAGTTCTTTTAACTAATGCTCCATAATCAGGTGTATCTGTGAGCAGCAATCCTCCATCATGATGACAACTATCTGATTATGGTTTAACGCTGCAAGTACAGACAGTTTGTACACTTCTGAAATAATTTAGCAATGAATTGCAAGAATAAGTCCACTTTAAATGAAATAAAGTACAATTAGAATGTTTTCTCACAATGACCTCCCAACATAAAATTAAAATCAATTTTCAGCTTGTTCATCAATAGCTTTGATTTACAGCATTGTTCAAAGGGAATAATCTTATGCCCAGGTGTTCTTTTATTGTTGCTTTTCTACTATTACACTGAAACTTTGTTTTAATTATGGACCGGGCTGGATTTACACACAGGCATTCTAGGCACGTGCCTATGCTCGCTCGTCCAGGGGGGGCCCAAGTAGCTTTTCTGCAACGTCGACCAGGCCATTCGCGACTACAGGTGGAGAGATATATCTGATTATAATGTGATGAAAAGCATCTTCTGGTTCTTATCAGATATGGATTTGGTGCACTTGTACACTGTCCCTATCAAATATACTACAAATAATATGTATATATGATAAACTAAATCAGTTGTGTACTATCACATTAAACTACCAGTGTATACTTCAGAGATTTAACTTAACTTCAGTGCCTTATCGTAGGGTAAGAGAGAATGCTGGCTCAATTTACCCCACAGCATTTGGCTCACTTTGCCCCATAGCTGCCATTTTGGAAAAAAACTAGCTTGCTTACTAATATTTAGCTAAATGATTTACATGGTTTTATACATTGCTAAATCACTTATATGCATCATAAATATTTTTAGACCTGGATAAATTTACTTTGATATAACAGCCATTACATAAAAAGTAATTGGGTGCCTGCCACTCCTCCCGTGTGTTTCTTCTTTTCACAGTCTGGCAGAAATTATGGGTGGTTTCAAAATACATGCTCACATGACAATAAAAGTGTACAGTTGGCAAGAAACAGGGGGTGGGTCAACTTACCCACTGACTCAACTTACCCCACTCTCCCCTACTCTAACTCTAAAAAACACAGTCTTGCAGATGTCAAATAGGTGTCTCTGTCATGTACGTGTGCTATCAGGGTCGTGGCACTCATCTTGCAAAGTCACAGCTGTGTTGCAGTGTTTGATGTGTTTTTGCAGGAGTTTGGTCGAGGCACTGCAGCTGACTGCAGACGTCATGTTCAGAAGCTGAATACTCTGCGTGGACAGATGCTGGAGATGAACAGCTGTTGTCACAGTGGTGAGCAAACCTTCAGGACCCACAGTCACTATATCCCAGAGAGCACACGTACGTCTGCAAGATGTCTGTTAAAGAGCGCTTCATCTGGAAAGCATCTGCTGTGAACAAACATCTGATAAATATCTATAAGATGTCAGTTTTACATACAGTACATTCTAAATCATAAACACCTTAGACATTTTCTAAACGTTTATTTGACATCTGATCGGAAACATCCTATAGACGTATTGCAGATGAGCAAACACTAAAAAAATACATCTTGCAGATGTCAAATAGACGTCTCCGTGATGTACGTGTGCCATCAGGGCAGGTTACATCCATTCTAAAGTTTTTAAATATATTTTTCAGGCTAAACATTTTACTTACTCATTGAATACATGTGAGTGTACGCAGATTAATCATTATTTAAATGTTTTTATTTTTTTTTGCAGAATTAAATTCTTCTGTGAAATCGGGACAGTTGTATGACAGACATTTTTTATTTTATCACCCCAAAAATATGAAAACAAATTTTAATACAGAAATACAAAACAAGATCATCATAGCAGACATGTAGTCAATCGTTGTATTTATGAATTACATTTTAATGCAATGCATTTCTGAATAAATAGGTAAAAAAGAGCATCATTTCCTTGACCCTTTGAATAACGCAATGTTTTAAAGGGAACCGGATGAAAACTATGAGAACGAAGATGTTCTTGAAAGTCTGGTCCAAAACCATGAATCAGGTAAAGCACCGATGTCCAGTCAGAAGTAACACGTACGCCAATTGAGAAATAATACATTTGTCACATCAGCAACACTGGCCTTATAAGCATCCTGTCCCTGTAGCAGGAAGCGGCTCGTGTCAGTCGCTGGAGTAAATACACCGATCAAACAGCTGAGGGTCCAAATGGACATGAAGATGATGAAGACGAGAACGTTTATACAGAAAGACACCGATTCAGACGCCAAGGAACCAGGTACCACACAACACTCATACTTGTCAATAAAAGCATTTAATCTGTTAATAAGGCAAAAAAACAGGTTATTAAAGAACATTTTCATTATTAATAAAGAATCCAAAAAATCTTAGCACAAAAACGATCATAAAAAAATGTTTGTCTTGTATTTTCATTATTAATTTCATGTAAAAATACCAATGTAACATCATTTTTTCTGAATAGGAAAAGGAAGAAAATCTCTACTTCAAAGTCTTTTGGTGGCCCTTATGATAACTGTGAGGATGAGGAGTCGTGGACTGGTTGTTCTGGGCTTAAGAGACAGCCGTATCTGGTAAGCCACGCACACGCATGTTAACACATCTGCAACAGTATGACTCATATGCTAATAGCATGTTGCTATGATACTGCAAATGCCCTGTTCAAAAAACACCATTTCAACACAATCTCTTCTTGTATCTATTGCAGCATGACAGGAGGTTCAATTCATCGTGGAATAAAGGATTTGCTTCCAAATATTCCTCCTGTGGCAGGTCAGGTGCCGTGGAGCCGTGCACTAGCACTAATCTCCCATCATCCCGTCAGGCTGATTGTTACCCTACAGCCAGCTCCAGTTCCACACGTAGTGGAAAACTCTGGTGAAAATAAACAGCAGTGTAACTCTTCACATAAGCCGCCAGCAGTTATGGTAACCAAAGGTCTTCTCCTGCACAGCAAATGTCCTTCTGTTTCTTCTCATCAGGATTGAGAATAAATCAAAATGGAATAAATTCCTCACCGTTGTCCCTAATCAGCAGGATGAGGAAGAGTACAACTTTGAAGCTCATAGGTCACCTCATTGCGATGGTAACACAGCAGTGCCTTATTTCACAAAAGCACTTACAGACATGGGTCTGGATTCTGAAGAGCGCAGATATCCACCGGATGAAGAGACAAATGGTGGTGTTCTAGAGGCGGAGGTCTGTTGGTGATATTTGTGTGGATGGAAACTTTTTCAGTCCAATCAACAGTCACAGCCCAGAGCCAGCTGGTTTTGGAGACGCGGTCTGTAAACCACCTTCACTGACCAAGACGCCATGTTCAAGCCTTTCTTTAAACTCCCTGTTCTTTACCGAGGAAGACTTTGATGACACATTTTAAGAATAAGATGCATTCAATTGAAAGGTTTTTCTTTCAAGGATGTTTAACAAAGTTGTAGGATGTTACTAAAACCTCTTCAACAAATATAAAAATGCATTGGTAGTTAACCCATTCTCCAAAGTCTTGCACAAGTACAAGAAAAAAAAAATCCAATTGTTTTTTTTTTTCATTTTATTGTGTATAGAAAGGACAGGAATTTTAGAAGACCTACAGTAACATTAACCCGATTCCATCTGCTTATTCAAACTAACAATAAAAATACCCCCAGGTTTCTGCTTCGTCTAACTCTTGGTTATGTAAATGCAAATAGAGAAATCCCACAAATGTAGATCTCTACTTATATATGTAATATGCACATATGATGACGATGATCTTAATAATATGAAGCGTAATGCTAATGACAGAAATGTTGAATATATCTATTTTGCATAAAAGCCCAAAAATGAACTTAACTATGTGCTCGTCACCTGAGTAATCAGTATTGTTGATAACATTTACGTAAAGAATTTGTCATTGAAAAAGTATGCAAAGACTGTTAATAGAAAATAGGCCAGAAGTTTCAAACAGCACTAGGTATGGCCCAGGTCTTCTTTATTCCTGTGCTCCTTCTCTACTTCTGTGGGCCGGGTTTCGAGTACTGGATGGTATCCAGGGCAGCTCCGATGTCAAAATTCTTGGTATGGAGCAGTCTGGTCAGCCATCCACCCTCATCGGTGAAGCCCATGGAGAGCATCTGAGAAAGGGACTCCACCAGCCTGGGGTCTGCATCTGAGGGAGAGGACATTAAAATTAAGCTGCTTGAATCCATGTGAAGTGGACTGGAATTTGCCACTGGGACTCGGCCCAACGACGATGCACTATACCTTGAGGAAGGTGTGGGTAGAGAGCTGCCTCACGCAGACCAGTGGGACCCTGTGAGGCGCTTGTGCTAGAGTCTGTACTTGGCGGGGCTGGAAGATCCGTCCCGTCCACCTCCATCCTGAGGGACTGCAGCTCTCCTGTGGAGGGGTCCACCTCTTTAGAGCAGAGATGAGTCCATTCCTCATCACTGCCTTGTTCTCTGTGCTTCTAGGATAGAAGGAATGAACGTTAACAGAATGTAGCTTCTCAGCCTTTAATCTCTCACTTCCGAATTTATGCTTTGAAACCTCGAGACGCCACAATCCTGTATACTATCAGGCATTCCAGAACTGCTTGGATATTGATTTACCCTTGTTCCCTCACTGATGCTCTCTTCAGCGGCTTGACTTCCTGGACCAGACCCTCTGGAGCCACTCTCACTCCGAGCACTAGGTGGCCCACTGGAGGCAGGAGGAGTTGGTGTAGCTTTGTCCCGCTTCCCCTCATGCTCAATGTCGATGTCCACATCTATGCCTGCAAAGGAAGAAGCATTTTTATTTTGAAGGGTTTAGCTAGCATGCCAAACAATGAAGTATCCAGATGGTGTATCAGAACGCAAAATGTTTGGGAAAGGCCAAAAAGTACCAGTAATAAACCCAAGTAGGGAACTTACCAAGGGGGTTCAACATGGCCGCCACTCCCACTCCTATGTTCTTCAGGTACTCCATATTAGCCTGGGCAGAGGCAGTACCACCTGTGGATAAAAAAAAAAAAAATGATAATATAGTTTCTGTCAGGGAAATGTTGGTCTACAGCATTGTAACAAGTTTTATACATATGTCATCCAAACAGATTTTCCTGCCCAAGTGGTCTATAAATGGGCCACTGGCTGCATCCGAAAGCTTAGGCAGCTGACTTGTTTGTGCACAGCGGTAGCACACCTTTTTATTTTTTAGTTCAACTATCTCAGCAGACAGGATGTAACAATTACAGGATTCACACATGACCTGCTGCACTCCTACCTCCTTCTGCTGCCTGCGAAAGCAGCATTTTTCAGCTTTCGGACACAGTATGCGTTTTATATTAGACCGTTTGATTGGTGGCATCTCACCGTTCTCTTCCATGTTTTCAGAAGCATCCTCGTTTTGCTGGGCTCCAGATGGACCTGGCTGAGCCTGGTTTGAGGCCTGAGCATAAGCATGAGCCTGAGCATGGTTATTTGCCCACATGCAGTGTCTCGTCTTATGCCAAAACTTCCCATGAGGGAACCACTGCACGCACAATTTTTTACTTTGATCAGTATGTTCAGATCATTTAAAAAACAAAATGTTTTGTATGTAGCAAAATACAGACACAAAAGTAGTAAAACAGGTATTCACCTCAGACATGTTGGGGATTGGGTGAAAGATGGGCAGGAGAGCGTGCTCCTTGTGGAGGCCTGTGCTCTGGCAGGAGGAGCACAAGTCATAATTGGGGCAAACGGTGCACTTGAAACGTGTTCCAGCCACCGGCCCATCGCACCCATCACAGGTCACCCCTGTGTGCAGCATCGGAGGGAAATGAGGAGGAGGAGGGGGGTGATGATGGGGAGGCCCCATATGAGGTGGACCCATAGGATTAGGACCTGGGGGGCTAAAGTGGGGGACTCCATGAGGCGGGCTGAATGAGAACCCAAAGCTCCCGTGAGGTGAGGAATCAGGTTTGTGCTCCTTTTTTTCTGAAAAGGAAAGAAATATGACAGAATTGCTATTAATTGGGGATATTTGTGTGTACTGGAGATGCTCAAAAGATTCAAGGGTCTAGTATCGTCAAAAGCCTCTTGGAAGAATCTGTTCACATTCTTTGAATTTACAGTCATCATCATACACTTTTCCCACCAAAAGAGCTTATAATACAGGTAAGTGGCTATTACCAGGCCAGGCAGCAGGGAATACAGAATTTATAGTATTCTAGGCCTAAAATGCCAAGAATTAACTCAAGAACCAATAATAGAATGTCAAGAGTAATTGCAAAAACGCTGAACATCTTAAGTTCAACTAAGTAGCCAGGCTGCTACTTTATAAATCATGGGGTCAATGGATGTTCTGTCAAGATTATAAAGATATGTACCAAGTGCCTTGATCTTAGAAATGTAACCTTTGTATCTTTGTTGGTTTCATCCACTTCTGAAAATGTTTACATGAGCAATATCACTCAAGTATTCGGCTCTATATCAGCGGCTGTGATTAGGCCAGAGGCATGAGGAAACCACAGCCGCTGATATAGAGCCGGTATCGCTCGAGTACGAGAGTGATACTGCGTTTATAGAACAGTTCGACGGCACGAGTGTAAATATATAAGAAAAACAACAACGGAGTGTCTTTAAAAACCCTTTTGTGCGGAACCACTTCCTTTCGCCACATATTCAAATCTCAGTTTAACAGCTGAGCTCAAGAGAAAACGTCACTTTAGAACTAGTAATTAAGGAACGTTGAGTTGCTTCATTAAAAACTTATTGTATTACTTAATTAAAAGCTCACTGTATTATGTAGATTATTATGCGAGAGTGATGGACTGAGCGAGTGTGATTACCTGCATCTGATGCAGCATTCATTCTTCAGCTCAATCTCATATTCACAACAAAACATTAGTTTGAATGTCCGCTGAGGAAAGCGATATCTTTGTCGTACTGTCCTTTCATCTGTTAAGGGCTATTTCTGATGACAGCGCTCATCAGTGCATTTGTTAACTGCGTCTTACAAGCGGTTATTAAAATTAAAAATAACTTCCATTTCAGTCTCCTTCAATGAAAGAGTCTTTACTGCGGACTCGTAAAACAGTCACTTGTCGCCATCTAAAGGCGGAACAATGACACAAATCACCATCACGAACACACACACACCGTTTCCCAATACTAAATACTACCATGTATATAAAATATTATTTATTGAATAATAAGCAACAACAACAGCCATCATAAAAGCCATGCTCTAATATACAGCATTAAAGTTACATAAAATATAACGTGATGAGATTTTGCTTTCAGCCAAAACTATTTGCTCTGGAACAAATAATAGATTAATGAGACCAAAGACTGCCAGTCAGATTTACCCAAAACGAATTTTATCTCATGTTTATCCACTATAGAGACATCAGAGCCAGCGGCTAATTCCAGAAGATCTGGCCGAGGTGAGGTTGCTCTGGCGGGTTCATGAGTGCTGAACGGCCGCTGACGCCCTGGAGCTCACGTCTCCAAAAACATCAAAGCTAATTTTCAAATAGACGTTATCTTTATTAACAAACCGTATATTTGAAGTCTAAACAAAGTACATTCTCACCTAAAAAAACTCTTAAAACTACATTGCGTGACACAAAAACAGTATTTTTATAATTTGGGTGTCCGCCATGACACTCGCTGTGAGAAATACTGGAAGCGGAGTGATACAAACTGTGATTGGGCGTTCCTGTGACAATACCAGTACAATATCTCACGGTTCTCAACCAATCAGATTTGAGAACCAGAACGAACTGTTGTATAAACAGAAATATTATTATTATATTATACAGTCTCCAAAAAAGTGACACTACCTAGCCAGACAAATTCATTTTAATTCAGAGACTGATGTTCATCATAGAAGAGAAATATTAAAGTTATTGTCTGTATGAAGTGCATTTTATTGTAATTTTGTGTAGCTTAATAGATCTGGGAAAAATGACACCTATGTCACTGACCTAGTCACACCTTATAAGGTGTTTTCTGTTGCTGTCTCCAGTGGAGAGCAGCAGTAACTACTACCTCTAAAAGGCTTATTTATTATTACTATTTTATTTTTGGTTTTTAAATGTAAATCAAATCTGAATTTGTTGTGGATTGTTTTAGAACTACTGTCTGTCTTCTGTCTAAAAACCACACGCTGAACTCATGCCCATTGCCTCATGTCTTGAAAGGATTGATATGTTTTGCAACAGATACATTGCAGAAGCAGATGATGAAGTGTAATAAATTATGTTGCAATATTTATTAAATGTGGAGCAAATACACAGTGTTACGATAATCAAAAACCTTAGTCTCACTAAGAAGTTGTTGTATCTGTGTTACTTACGCCTGATGTAGAGACGGAAGGTGCCATCCTTCACAACAGCCAAACCCATCATTAGCTCATCATCAGAGGAGAAAGCAATCAAGTCACCATCCTCATCTAGAGACAAAGCCCAGGAAAAGCCATGGTTCCATGCTTATTACTGTCCATATTAGATTTTGGCTAATTTATTGTATGTATATTCTGCTGTTGTCCTTCCCTGGATGTTACAACATTTATTTCATGGTAATTTAATAGCATTATAATACTCTCACAGCTTTGCATTGGGGTGTATCATTAAGCAATAAGTCTCAATAAATCAACAAGTTATTTCACAGTATATTATTTCTTGTACCATTCTTATATTTGACTTTAAAGAGGTTTATTTTCCTAAAGCTGCCCAAGCTGGTGTCTAATGTCACTCATTTCATTTTCTTCAGACAGTTAAATAAAACAACTTTGTAGTATTAACAATGAGAAACGACAATTATTGTATGTTTGCATGTACAATAGACTACATACATTTAAAAACAAACAAAAATTGTAGAATTAAAAACTGGCTTACCTTTGTAGTACATTTGAAAGGGCACAGTCCTGAGACCGAGGAAAACATCGAGCACTTTTCGCTTCAAATACTCAAAACTTGTTGAGACATCCTGATCCACGCCAAAGCGGCGGATCTCCTTGTGGCAGTCGTCTTTACCGATAACATACGCTTTCACTGTCATCGACATCGTGGCGAGAAACAGCGTGTCAAAGCGAGCCTCTGGTTTGTGTTGCGCAGCAGAAAATATGTTTCTTGAACACGGGACTTCCGTATTTATGCCTGAGCGTCATATGCAAATGAGCAGCGGATCAGCCAATCGTTGAGGCGAGCTGCAGGAACAGAGTTCAGGTTGAGTTGACTCTGATCACGTGAGTCACATTTGGAAACAGAATGGACTGAGATCATCTGAGCAGTGATATGGCAATATGTGCGGGGAAATCATTATCTTTAAGGCCCAAACGACAACAATAAACGGGTAATAATATTGTGATATGTCACTGTAATTCCTCACTTTTTACAAGTGGTAGCTACATTTCTTGTGTGTTCATTTAGCGACGGAATGTCACACAAACTCTCTCTTGCTTCTGCTATATAACAATGTTGAACGATTTTTCCACATATATCCATTTATTTAAATATGTATATACTTATTCTGATGGATTTGTTTAGCTACAGCTGAGTCAGAGTCATTCTTGAGACGTGGGACAAAACAGGTCCAGCAAGGGTAACTGCTATTAGCTTTAAAAAATACAAATATTTTCAATTTTAAATGTCATGAGGGATTAATAATAGAATGTATTTAACACAATTATCACCTTCAATTTAATTTTCTCATTATTATACCAAATCTGTGTTTCTTAATGTCCTCTCACTACGTCTAAAACACTGTGTCCACAGAGAAGGGTTCAATCATTCATATGCAATAAACTGGATAAAAATGTTTTTTTTTAATGATGAAAAAGAGCTTGTTTTATCAAAAGCAACACTTAATAATATCTCCTATCAAAGCAAGGTTGTTTTTTAATGACACATGCATTTAAGATTTTAAAGTTGCGTCCCCACTTTTTGTCAACACCGTCAGACATTAAATAAAATGTAATAGAATCAGGGAATATCAGGGGCAGCTGTCACTCTAAAGGACCCCCTTGCCACAGTTCACCTCTGCAGAGTACAGCAGTGTCAGACAGGCTCTGCTAAGTTT